GGGCAGAGTATATATGGGGTTCTGACCCTAGTTCGTCTCATGGTAGGCCCACTGGGACCTAAGCCCATCCTGTGACTGTACCACAGTTCCTGAAAGTATTATTGGAATGCACAGCCGCGACACACTCCAGAATCTTCACTTCGGCTCCCTGACCTGTGAAGCAGTAACTACTATAGTAGGAAGAACGCAGAGGGTGAACTGGTGTCCCCCCTCCCTAACAAAACAGAAATATGAAACAAGACTGCAGACATGGTGGAGCTGCAGGAATTTATGACATTACCAAAGATCCAGAAGAAACAGACTTTGTGATTATATTCTATGCCCACCCTATACCTTGGCTTCAAACAGCATAGAGAATGATGAGGGGTCATGGTCAAGTTAACGAGGTGGGGATTTCAATTTACTTAATATTCCAGGGACAATCTCCTCACTGAAGCAAATTAATGTATCTCCTAGCAGGCCTTGGGTTTGCCACTGCTCACCTGGCGAAAGTGTTTTCCTAGTAGGATAAGCAGGTGTGCCATTTCCCGAGGGAACGCGGCACAACCTTACTTTTTTACTCAAGGTCAAGTTCATCATCTTCAACTCTTTGCCTCTAGGAATGATGAACTCTGGAGAGCTTCTTTGGATTTTGGAGGCAATGTGGCTCATATTTAAATAGCTTGCTTTGACCCATTTACTGGGAAATCTGAAAAGCAACTTTGGTCCATGGTTAACGTTTGTTACCGTGTCCACCCAAGCTGAGTGGAGGACAAGCCTCCCTGTGTGCGCTTGAAACTGGCGGTGGGTGTGAGGGAGGGTGCTGTCAGAGGCCTGAGGGACGACCTGACGGCCTCTGCGTCTCGTGATTCGGGCTCCGGGAAGAACTGTGGGGAGTCTCACACATTATGAAACCAGAAAATGAGAACAGACATCTCACACTTCCTCTTAAGCTGAATAGGAGCTTACCTCATGCTGGTGTTAAGAGCTGCTCAGGGAGTTTGTTCATTCCACTGTGAGCCTACCTTGTAGCAAGAGGGCTTATTTATAAACCTAACAGCAGAAAACTGCTTACTTTAGAATAAGCAGTGAAAGGGCAAAGCAAGGAAGAAAGATGGCAGGTGGAAGTGAAAACGGATATGATCAGTGGCACTATATAAAGTTCACATTTCCCTCTTATTCATGAAAAGAAGTGGATACTCCGCTGGGTGTGACAGCTCAAACCTGTAATCCCAGCACATTGGGAGGCCAAGGAGGGCAGATCACTTGAGGCCAGTAGTTTGAAACCAGCCTGACCAACATGGTAAAACCCTGTCTCTACTAAAAATACAAAAAAAAAGTATCCTTGTTTGACGGCAGGTGTCTGTAATCCCAGCTACTCAGGAGGATGAGGCAGAATTGCTTCAACCCGAGAGGCGGAGATTGCAGCGAGCTGAGATCATGCCATGGCACTCCAGCCTGGCATCAGAGTGAGATTCTGTCTCAAGAAAAAAGAAAAAAGAAAAAAGAAAATTGTATCACCCAGAGATAACCGCTGCTAGCATATGGCCTATTCGAATCTAGTCTTTTTCCTATGCTATAAATGTGACGTGTTTATGTATTTAAGTGGGATAATAGTGTATATTGTTATTTATAGTCTGTTTTCGAAGTTTTCATTATGGTGATCATCTTTGCCTGCTGATACACACACACACACACACACACACACACACACACACACACATATTTGACAGACTCTTGCTCTGGCTGGAGTGCAGTGGTGTGACCTACGCCTCCTCAGTTCAAGTGGTTCTCCTGTCTCAGCCTCCTGAGTAGCTGGGAATATAGGCCTGCACCACCACACCTGGCTGCTTTTTTTATTTTTACTTTTATTTTTAGTAGAGACGGGGTTTCACCATGCTGGCTAGCTGGTCTTGAACTCCTGACCTCAGGAGATCCACCTGCCTCAACTTCCCAAAGTGCTGGATTACAGGTGTGAGCCACTGCATGGCCGTCAATAAATATTCTTCAGCCATATGATTTCTATGGGTACGGAGGATTCTCTCAAACAGAAAATGGCATAAATTTCTCAATCAGTGCCTTACTGTTCTGCACGTAGTGACCAGTTCTCTGGCAGAGGCTACCTGCCATGACAGAAAATTCGGTGGGTCTCTGCCTCACAGCAAATCTCACCACACATGGCTTTACTGGATGGCTGCGTGCTGTTGGAAGACATCTGAGATCAACAGTTATTCTACATATTAATTTAACTTAAGATTTTCTTCTCTGTAGATTTCCCCAGTTCCTCTTTTTGACATTAGCCATAGTAACTAATATTTATATCACATTTTAATGTAACCTCTGTTGGTTCTTGGAATAACATTTGTGCAGCAATTAATTTCACCTAAAAGACACAATGCAGATGGAAAACAATATTATTACAATGTCATGGATATGAGTCGTTCATTTGGGAGATACTTACTGAGTGCCTAAAATAAAACCATCTAGGCAGGCAATATTCTACAAACACTGAGCTTCCATAATGTACAAGGATACAAAGAAATATAACTTCTTTTAAAAGACTGGCTTTCCTTTTTTGAGACGGAGTTTTGTTCTTATTGCCCAGGCTGGAGTGCAATGGCGCAATCTCAGCTCACTGCAACCTCCGCCTCCTGGGTTCAAGTGATTCTCCTGCCTCAGCCTCCCTAGCAGCTGGGATTACAGGCATGTGCTGCTACCATGCCTGGCTAATTTTGTATTTTTAGCAGAGAAGGGGTTTCTCCATGTTGGTCAGGCTGGTCCTGAACTCCTGACCTCAGGTGTTCCGCCCGCTTCAGCCTCCTAATGTGCTGGGATTACAGGTGTGAGCTACCATGCCCCACCTAAAGGATTTCCTTTCTACATAGAGATGTAAGACATAGAACCAAGAGTAATTAAAGGACAGAACAAGAGGTCATGAGGCAGTTTCCAGTGATGAATACCACAGGCCATAGGGGCTGTTGTTGTTTTAAAGATTGGTCCCTAAGGATGGGAACCGTCGGAAGAGGCTTCGTGGAAAAAACACTAAATCTTTACAGGATTGAGAGGATGGCAATAAAAGGGGAAAGCTTTCATAAAGGCTGGGAGACAAGCTCCTTTCTCCGTCGGGAACAGTGAGTTGAGCTCAGAGGATGTGTAGAAGTAGGAGGTAGTCTGAACGTGGGATCACTGCGGATCACTGTGGGGTGGAAGGGGCCCTGGAGCCCAGTCCATCACGGCCTGGACTCCACCCTGAATCGTGAGGGGGGGTTTGGAGCAGTGGCATGACATGGTGATGCGACACCCTGGTGTGGCAAAAGTCAGTTCAGAGTCTTCACATCTCTTAAAACCTCTGTAGCAGGACTTTGAATTGATGTTCGGCAATTGTTTACCCATCATCTTCTTTCCTCCTGCTTCCTGAGTGGGATTCACTTGCAGAAACTGGCCTACTAGTAAAATAGTTACAAATTCCTATGTAGGCTGGGCACAATGGCTCACACCTGTAATTCCAGCACTTTGTGGGGCCGAGGTGAGTGGACCACATGAGCCCAGGGGTTCAGGACCAGCTTGGGCAACACAGGATGACTCTGGCTCCAAAAAAAAAGGAAAAAAGGTTAGCCAGGCACAGTGGTGTGTGCCTGTATTCCCAGTTGCTTGCTGAGGAGGCTGAGGTGGGAGGATCACTGGGGCCCAGGAGTTTGAGGCTGCAGTGAGGTATGATTGTGCCACTATGCTAGTGGTCATAATTCAGTGAAGTTTCTTTTACTAACAGTTTTGTCTTGATAACTTTTTATATTACAAAACAAATGTGATATCATTGGAAACATTTTGAAAATAGAAACAAAATCTTATAACCTAATCCCAAACATAACTATTTAAATTTTCCAGTCTTGTCAAAATGCGTATTTTTATCCCGCTGCAATAATGTTATATAAGCATAGCAAGCATGTTAAGCAGGATTCTATAAACATATTAAATCAATCATTTTCATAATTGTCATTTTAAGTTTGTATAAGCATCTTTGAGTAGATGTATCCCATCTAACAGTTTCTCTGCGCTTAGATGTTTTCCCTGGTTTGATTCCAGCTAGTGCACCATTGGCATTCTGGTGCACAGAGATGGGACTCAAGTGTGACATGTCCTCAGTCCTCTAAGGGGCCATGGATGGGACCTGTGGTGATCAAAGGCCTCAGATTAGTAGCCTCTGGCTGCAAGATGCACCCTTGACTGATCGCTGTACAAATACCATTTTCAATGTTCGCCATTATATGAAAACAGTTAGAATGCATTTTTACAGTGATACGACTTCCATTTCCATTATTATTACTACTCATTGAACTTGTAGTGTTTTTATAATTGAGTTTTAATTAATTTTTTATAGTTTAATGTATTTTAATAGCAAGCTTTTTTTTCTCAGATGGAGTTTCACTCTTGTGCCCCAGGCTGGAGTGCAACGGTGCAATCTCGGCTCACTGCAACCTCCACCTCCTGGGTTCAAGTGATTCTCCTGCCTCAGCCTCCCTAGCAGCTGGGATTACAGGTGCCAACCACCATGCCTGGCTAATTTTTTGTATTTTTAGTAGACATGGGGTTTCACTATGTTGGCCAAGCTGGTCTCAAACTCCTGACTTCAGGCAATTCACCTGCCTCAGCCTCCCAAAGTGCTGGGATTACAGGTGTGAGCCATGGTGCCCAGCTTAATAGCAAACTTACAGGAACAGTACAGAAGACACGTGCCTGTAGGACAACTCAGAACATACAGTGAATGGATCAAATCTACTGTCATGACAAAAATGCTATAAACACGATTTACTCGTTTTTAAAAAAATCCAAATGTTGGCACTGTCCAGAAAAATTTAACAGGTCTATTTATAATTATTACAAAGTTGAACTGCTGAAACTTGTTCATTGAAATATTTTTTTTCCACTTTCTGAGATTTAATTATATAATACAAGCTTGGAAATTCATTGTTTTCATAATTGTTTTGATGATATCTATTATAGCATCAGAAATAAACACCGTATCAGTGAACATTATCAATCATGTGTATTATCAATCAACGCCATAATGCACTGATCAGAAAAAAACATAACGAGACATATCCACATTCATTTTTTGTGATATCCCTAATCAGGACTCAGAAGTCCCAGAGACTAAGGCAGTGACTAGGAGGGAGGAGGGGAAGGGGTTATTGGTGGATGGGTCCTTATATATTTCTTTCAAGACCATTTTATTTACCAAGTCTGACAAGGGTATAACCTTTTGAGTCATAAATATAGTAGACAATATCAATAATTAATGATTCTTAAATGATTCTGGCTGCTCCCCAAGCAACCATTCCACTCCTCCTGCACGGAGAACAGCTGTGTGATTAATCAGCATGCCCCCATCCTCCTTGTCATTGGTCAAATGATTGATTGGTTCAGGGATGATGTCAACCAATCTGTGCCTGGCATTCTCCTGGTTCCAGTGATTGATTCTGCAGAATACAAGTGATGTAAGGTGGAATAATCAAAGACATATCCAGAACTCTTGAAGGTTTGGTGAAGTCCTTTTGGATGGCAAAAACATCAAGTGATGACTTTAGACATTTTTGCTGGGAGAGCCAAAGAAAATCATGGTCCGATATAGACCATTAATATCAGCATATAAATGGACTCGATGCACAGGAGGCAGGCATTCCTCCTCATGAGAGAATGCCCTGAGCTCCATGGGATGTTCAGCTCCACCTGCAGCCCAGTAAGTGTTGGGAGCATGCCCTGGTAATTGCAGCAACTCAAAAGTAACTCCACGTATTTCCAAATGTCCCTTGGCAAGGATGTTTCTTCTTCACCTTTGACAACTATTCCTAAGTCTAGTGTATTCCCTAACTTCAACAAACGAACCAACCTGTCCTCACAGCCTCCCACAGTTACTATCCTGTTTTTATGCATGGAAATTTTTATTGAGAATTTCTTATAGTGCTGGTCTCCATTTCTTTATTTTATACTCTTCTGTGAGCCAGTACTTGAAGACTGCTCTTGGTAAAGCAATGAGCTCTACACTTCCAATCCTGTCATCGTATCTTAGTTCTTTTCAGGTATGACCTTCCAGGACATTCAATAGAGTTGGCTTCTGTTCTCCTCATCCTTTCTTCTCTTGGCACCTACCACTGCACCCTTCCGGTTTCCCCCAAAAAAGAGGACATACTTTTGTAGCTTCCTCTTCTGGATTCTCTCTCTTTACTGGACCTGCAGATTTTGGAGTATCCCAGGAGTCCATATCTGTGTATCTCCCAGGTGAACTCTTCTAATCCTGTGGAAACAGAAGCCATGTCTCAGACGGCAATGAGGCCAGATGGTGGATTCCTGTCCACTGAAATATTTTGACTTGCATTAATGCTTCATCCCCCCACATTTATATAAAAAATTCACACACAAATGAAAACAGAAAAACTGCCAATACCTGATTTCTGTCCCCTGTTTTTTCACTCACAATCAGATACTTAGGTATCTTTTGACCTCATGGGGAAAAAAATTAGTAATGTTCAGATCTACCAATAACAGGAAGATAATTTTTCTTTTGAGAATGAAATGTTTCCCATGATAGTGGATTCTTTTTTTTTTTTTTTTTTTTGAGATGGAGTTTTGCTCCGGTTGCCCAGGCTGCAGTCCCAGTGATCTGGGCTCACTGCAACCTCCACCTCCTGGGTTCAAGCGATTCTCCTGCCTCAGCCTCCCAAATAGCTGGGACTACAGGCATGCGCCACCACCCCCGGCTAATTTTGTATTTTTAGTAGAGACGGGGTTTCACCATGTTGCCCAGGCTGGTCTTGAACCCCTGACCTCACGTGGTCTACCCATCTCGGCCTCCCAAAGTGCTGAGATTACAGGTGTGAGGTACCAGGCTGGGCCCATACTGGATTCTCAAGCATATCCTCCAAGTGTGCAGCCTGCTAGCGGGATACCTTTTGGCACAATGTTACCCGTGCGGCATGGATAGCACACAGGTTGGTGTCTTCAAAAAGGCCAACCAGACAGGCCTCACTTGCCTCTTGCAAAGCACCGATACCTGTGCCCTGGAAGTGCCTGCCTGTTTTAAAGTCCCGAGCAGTGTCTCGCAGCAGACGCTGGAAGGGAAGTTTGCAAATCAGGTCAGTGGGTGATATCTGATTTCACTGAGAGCCAGTACCAGGCCTTGAGGATGAACCAGGTTTCTTTGCCCCTCTGGTAGAGGGTGCACCCCTGCGCATGGCTTTTGCAGCCAGCTGCTTCCTGGGTGCTTTCCAGCCGATGGATTTGTGGGCAGTCGACTTTGTATCAGCCACAGTATACAGCCCTCCTCACTCACCCCTTCTCCTTCTGCTGGAGCTCTGCGAGTGAGAGGCGGCGCTGTGTTGGAGAGCGACCCCTGAGTTTTAATCAGTGTTTAAAGCAATACTTGAGGCTGGGCACAGTGGCTCACTCACGTAATCCCAGAATTTTGGGAGGCCAAGGTGAGTGGATCACTGGACATCAGGAGTTCAAGATCAGCCTGGCCAACATGATGAAACCTTGTCTCTCAAAAAAAAAAAAAAAAAAAAAATTATCCTGGCATGATAGTTCCAGCTACTTCGGAGGCTGAGGCAGGAGAACTGCTTGAACCCGGGAGACGGAGGTTGCAGTGAGCCCAGATGGCGCCACTGCACTCCAGCCTGCAACAGAGTGAGGCTCCACCTCAAAAAAGAAAAGCAATACTTGCACATAATAAAAATGAAATTGGGCCGGGTGCGGTGACTCACACCTGTAATCCCAGCACTTTGAGAGGCCCAGGTGGGCGGATCACGAGATTAAGAGATCGAGGCCATCCTGGCCAACATGGTGAAACTCCATTCCTACTAAAAACACAAAATTACGTGTGAAAGTGGGTGCCTGTAATCCCAGCTACTCGGGAGGCAGGAGAATCACTTGAATTGGGTGCAGAGGTTGCAGTGAGCCGAGATTGTGCCATTTCACCCCAGCCTGGGCAACAGAGTGAGACTCGGTCTCAAATTAAAAAAAAAGGAATCATACAGAAAGCTAAAAAGTAGCAGTGTATTAGTCTGTTTTCACACTGCTGACAAAGACATACCTGAGACTGGGCAATGTTCAAAAGAAACAGGTTTATGGGGCTCACAGTTCCATGTGGCAGGGTGAAAGGCACGTCTCACATGGAGGCAGACCAGAGAAGAGGGCTTGTGCAGGGAGACTCCATTTGTGAGACCATCAGCTCTCATCAGTGAGATTCATTCACTGTGACAAGAACAGCATGGGAAAGACCTGACCCATGATTCAATTACCTCCCACTGGGTCTCTCCGAAAACACATGGAATTCAAGGTGAGATTTGGGTGGAGACACAGTCCAGCCCTATCAGGTAGTAGCTTCTCCTCTAACCTCAGGCTTTCTGTTCCTCACCGCAGATCCTGACTGTCACTAGTTGCTTGTGTATTGCTCTAAACACATCCTAAAGCCAAACAAGTGGGCATGCATACACATATGTACATCTTCAGGGGCCACGTTAAAAATATTTACCTCGGGTACAACCACCTGGAAGGAGGCCCCTGGTGTACAGGATGTGCCAAAGTGCCTGCTGTCTACTACCAGTCTTGTGTTTATTCCTTGCTTTTATACATGAATTTGCCCAAGTTGCTTTTTTCATAGTGATATTTGGAGATTGTTCCACATCGGCGCAAGTAGAGCGACTTCGCTCTTCAATGGTGCCGTATTTCACCCACTTTCTGCGGAAGGGTCTCCAGGTGTTCCCCAGACTTTTGTTACTTGAAACAGTGCTGTAACAAATGTCTTTACACAGCCTAAATTCATCTATCCGTGGCGTAACTGTCTAGAGAAGGGAACGCTGGGGAAACAGTATGCACGTATAACGTTATCATTGGCATTATCACATTTCCCTCCAAAGAGGTTTATCGTTTTTATCCCCGCCGGCACCGTACCTGAGGGCCGGACTTCCCAAACGCAGGCTGACTTGGTGTATCTTTCTCAGCCCGCAGCAGGAAACACAGCGTGTCACTGATGCGGCGTGCGTTTAATCTCAGATTAAATTTTAAGTTTTGCAAAACCAAGTTCATCTCTGTAATTGGAGAAGGCATCCATGAACCTGAAAGGCAACAAGCTGATGAGACGTAATCAAGGCGAAGGCTCGCTCAGTGTCTGCCAACGACGAAGATGACAATAGCGTCTGAGTTTCGCTCAGTGCCACCTCCTTCTCCGCAGAGACGGGCAGCATGTGGGAGCGGTGAGTTGTAAGGTGGTTTGTGGTGACTGAGACGCGCTGAGGGTGTGGAAATCTCAAGACAGGTCTGGAGAACGAGGGAGAGTAACAGAGAAATAATTTAAGAAAGCAGAAAGAACTTAAAGATGATCTCATCTGGGAGAGGCTTACAAAAATTAGCGTTTCAACGGACTATTTCCCGCGATGTCTGCGTTTCCTTAACCGGCAGGGATTGCTGGACAATCTGCCATGAAATATGCTGCGTTTAGTTAGGGAACCTCACAGGCCTCGAACCTGTCTGTGGTTTTTTGGGGGGAATGAGATGTGCTGTGACAGGCTCTGCTTAAAGATCAGTCCCCAGCCCAACCCCAGTTCATTTATTCTGAGGAACTGATGAGCGACACAGGAATGTCTGGGTCTGCCTCCAAAATCCTCACATCCGGCTGCGGATCGTTCGGCATGGGAACTTGGACATGGAAGAGGCTAAAGGCAGAGAAAAGCAGAAAGCCTCCCGGTGCCCTGAAGAAACCTTGACCATCCCTGAGTTCCCCCAATACGCAAGAAAACCCGAATTATTATTGCTCTCTGTCTGCGCGCCCACACACACACACAGAGACACACACACACAGACACACAGACATACACACAGACACACACACACAGACACACACAGACACACACAGACGCACACAAAGACACACACACACACAGACACACACAGACACAGACACACACACACACAGAGACACACACAGACACACACACAGACACAGACACACACACAGACACACAGACACACACAGACACACACACAGACACACACACACCGAGACACACACACACACAGACACAGACACACACACACAGACACAGACACACACACAGACACAGAGACACACACACACAGAGACACACAGACACACACACAGACACACACACAGACACAGACACAGACACACACAGAGACACACACACACACACACCCCCCTCTATCCTCACCGGATCTTATGTTCTCTCTCTCTCTATTTTTTGAGCTTCGCATGGGAGAGTGAGGAGAGGTTTGTTAGGGTCACACCAGAGCCCACGGCACGATGGCAGAGGAGCCCCATGGTGGGTTCCAGGTTCGCACATCGAGTCCCGCCCCAACCCGATCCGGGACGACACCGCTCTGGTCCTCCGCTGTTTCAAAACCCAGCGGTTTTACCCGCAGGCCCGCTGTGTGCGGCCCTCGGAGCTGCCCCGCTCGGAACCGAGCGCCGCGCGGTGGTTTCTCGGGTGTCCCCTGCGGCCGCCAAGGTTCCTCTCCCGGCCCCTCCCGGTGCTGCGGCTGGGGCTCCACCTCCCTGGCGCTCCCCCTCCCCGACGCACCCCTCCCCACTGCGCGGCGCTCCCCCACCTGCCTCCCCCCTCGGCGCTCCCCCACCTGCCCCCCTACCAGCGGCGCTCCCTCCCCCCGCGGCTCTCCCCGCCACCCGGCGCTCCCCCCACCCGCCTCCCGCGCGGCGCCGCAGCTGGGCCCGAGACTCGCCATTGGATTAAAGCAGTAGCGTCGCCAGCCCCAGCCCCAGCCCCGCGCCGCCGTCCCCGCCCCGCGCGCACTCGGCTCCCGCGGCTCGGTCCGCTCCGCTCCGGCCTGCAGCTGCGTCCTCTCGCCCGGGGCGGCCATGCAGCGCCGGGGCGCCCTGCTGGGGATGCCGGGCGGCAGGAAGATGGCCGCGGGGGACCTGGGCGAGCTGCTGGTGCCCCACATGCCCGCCATCCGCGTGCCCAGGTCGGGGGACCGCGTCTACAAGAGCGAGTGCGCCTTCTCCTTCGACTCCCCCGTAAGTCGGCGCCGGGGCCGGGGGCCAGGCCTGGGACCTGCCCGCGCGGCGGACTCGGCCCCGGGATCCCCGGGGAGCCCCAGCCCCTGCGGCCGAGGCCGGGTCCCCGGGCTGCTCCCCAGGCTGGAAGCGCCGCCCCCGGGAAAGACGCGAAATCCAGGCGCTCCCGGCGCGACCCGCGCCTCGCAGAGCGTTCGCATCCCCCCCGGGCCCGAGCGCGGGGCAGGAGGGCGGGCCTAGCCCCCAGACCCCGACCGCGGCCCTTCCTCCTCCTCCTGCGGGCCGAGCCCCCACGCTCCCGGGACCACCTGCTTTGCCCGGGACCCCGCGCCCGGCGGCTCTGATTTGCTCTCCGGCGTCTCTCCCTCCACGTCCCATCCCGCCCCCTCCTTCTCTTGCCTTCGGCTCGTCGGGGCCGGACGGCGCGGTGGCCCCCACCTGTCATCCCAGCACTTTGGGAGGCTGAGGCGGGTGGATCACCTGAGGTCGGGAGTTCGAGACCAGCCTGGCCAACATGGGGAGACTGTCTCTACTAAAAATGCAATTAGGCGGGCGTGGTGGCGCGCACCTGTAACCGCATCTACTGGGAGGCTGAGGCGGGAGAAGCACCTGAACCCGGAGGCGGAGGTCGCAGGGAACTGAGATCGCGCCACTGCACTCCAGCCTGGGCGACAGCGGGACTCCGTCTCAGCACGAAACACACCTGAGAATGTCAGAGGAAACCCTCGGTGCCTCCCCTCGGGCAGCAGAAATAGGGGTTCTGCCGGGCTGTGGTGGTTTCCTTAAGCCTTACCCTTCTGAATGAGTCACTGGGCCTGACACACGCAAGTGTGAATTACTGAAAGTTCGGTCCCGAGTCGTGACCCGGGGAAGGGAGCGGAAGCTGGGAGGGATCGCGGCGGCTGCTGGTGGGTTTCACCTGGTTCTGTGTGAATGTGTGTGTCCCTCTCAAGAGTCAGAACGGGCTTCAAAGTGACTCAGCTGTCTGGCGTTTATCAGGCCTTTCTGAGGACCAGGTTATTTTTATCCACCCACTTTAGAGCTCATGTGTCACCCGGCAGATCTCAGTGCTTCGGGAGGCCCATGGATTGGATGGGCCGAGGCAGGTCTCACAATTGTCTAGTACGTTTTGTTCATAGTGTGTGGAGTATTGTCAGAGGGGGAAAGTCCAAATGAGCGGCAGCGTTTCCAGAGTTTCCTTTATGATCCATGGGTTGATTTTCGGTGGCTTCGAAGCGTTTTTGCTCGATACACACTGGAGTCTCAGAATTAGTATCCTCTCTGTGACATTTAGTTTTTTTATTTACCGTAATTCCAGATCATTTGAGGGATAAAATCTAACTCATTTGTTGATCGCTTACTTTGTTTTTTCTTTCAAAAAGACCCACAGAGTGGAGTTTGACAGTCGGCAGTCCTTTTATATACAGGACGTGGTCCTTAATGTATTTGACAATGCCGTTTTCAGATGGTACGGCCAGCGCCAGGCAGTTCCCACCACTAGCTCCTAAAGGTGGGGAGGGATGAGGGGCCTAACCTCAGGTTCTTACCCTCAGAGGAAGAAAGCGGCCTCAGTCTTTTAGGACAGCACAACATGGTATTGGGTCCTATGACTTTCTCCATGTTTGATTTGGGCTCTTCTTCAAGTTCTGCCTATAAACTTTGCTCTTGGAAATGTTTGCTGCATGATGTAGTACATGGCAGGTGTGGGGAAAAAAAGCATGATTGTTTTAATTCACTTTCACAAACAGTTATTGGGAGCTTCCTCTGTGTGTCTCTAAAATGTTGCTGTTCTAGAAACATCTTATCCAGTATAGACTGATTATTTTAATCATATCACAGCAGTTCCTTGGGGGAGATTGGGATTTATTTACAAGGCTGATGAATCAATGTATTTCATTATCTGTGTTTCAGGGGAGGAAAGGAAGGAAGGTTTGATAATTCTTAAATTCTTAAAGCACAGTTTTTTTTTTTTTCTTTTCTTTTCTTTTTTTTTTTAAGATGGAGTTTCACTCTTGTTGCCCAGGCTGGAGTGCAGTGGCGTAGTCTCAGCTCACGGCAACCTCCGTGACTGGATTCAAGCTATTCTCCTGCCTCAGCCTCCCAGGTTGCTGGGATTACAGGCGTGTGCCACCGTGCCTGGCTACCTGTGTATTTTTTATAGAGATGAGGTTTCACCATGTTGGTTAGGCTGGTCTTGAACTCCTGGCCTCAAGCGATCTACTCACCCTGGCCTCCCAAAGTGCTGGGATTGCAGGTGTGAGCCACTGCACCCAGCTGGTATTTTGTTATGGTATGTGACACTACACTAAGAATCGGATAAGGGTTTCTTCAGCACCGACTTTGTGCTATCTCATACATGTATGCCTGTTAGGAACATAGAGAGCAAAATCCATGGTGCTAAACACACCAGAAACGTTAATCCACAAGTGTGGTGGGAGGTCTTAGGGAAAAGGCCAAAGCCAGCTGAGTGGGAAAACAAAATTATCCTTGCATTGGTTACTTTTGAAAGAGGTTACGTACAAAGATGGGTAGAAAGCATGGGAGAGCAACATTCCAGGCGAGGGAAATTATACCTGCAGAGAAGATATAAAGTGTGAATATTTTCTAATTTGCTTGTAATGTGTTTAGAAACAAAGATACATTTGGCAAGCAGCAAGAAGTGAGGTAGAACCAAGCAGAGAGTAGATGACGAGGGGGTGGAATGGGGAACCTTTCATCTTGCTTTTATGGGGTCGGTTACGGAAAGCGATTCTCGGTCCTGTGACCTAAAGTGGTGCCGGAGGAAGGCTGCGAATCAAGACACCTTTATGACGGGCCTGCGTGTCTCAGGCCCGTCTGTAGACCTCTGCCTTTCCGCACATTTGTGGGAGATGACAGTGCCAGCATCTCTCCTGCCTTCTCCCACTGCCGAGGGCTTCACACACAGCACGTGCTCAACACCCGCTGTTTTGGGCTGCGGGAGCATTGCTTTCACGTAGCCCTTTGACTTCACCTGAGGCCCACTCAGCCACCTTGATGTGCAGGCTCCCCTCTCTATGGCTTGGTTCATTGCACAAGGTCCGTAATGCGCCTTCCCAATGGAGCTTCTTTTCTGTTCTTTTTTTGAGACGGAGTTTCGCTCTTGTTGCCCAGGCTGGAGTGCAATAGCTTGATCTTGGCTCGCTGCAACCTCTGCCTCCCGGGTTCAAGTGATTCTCCTGCCTCAGTCTCCTTAGTAGCTGGGATTACAGGCATGCACCACCATGCCCGGCTAATTTTTTCTTTTCTTTTTCTTTTTTTCTTTTTTTTTTTTTAGAGACTGGCTTTCTCCATGTTGGTCATGCTGGTCTCAAACCCGTGACCTCAGGTGATCCGTCTGCCTTGGCCTCCCAAAGTGCTGGAATTACACGTGTGAGCCACCGCCCCCGCCAGAGCTTCTTTTCAAGACTAATTTCCAGTGGTTCTTGTTCTATGAATCATTTCCATATCGTGCCCCACTAGATCCCGTAAGCATTCCTGTCTAACCCCCGGCGACATGTTCACGTGCCTGTCTCTGCCTTTGAGTGCTGGCTTCCTGGAGAGTGGAGGCTTTGTGTTGCTCCCATCAGCTGCCTAGCATCTGGAATATACACCAGGACCTCAGTGAAGGCTTTGGAAATGTGTGAATTCCATGGAGTTACAGGCTCTGCACGTGGTGAGGATAAAACACATGAGAAATGTTGAGAAAGGAATCATGGGGGATTATCACATAGAATGTGGTGACTTCACCGATTTGTGGGGAACAGACGTGACGGAAACAGCCCAGACTAGCTGTTTGAATCCTGTCTCTTCACCCAGTGTGTAACTTCTTGGAGCCCCAGTTTCTCCATCTGTAAAATGGAGACAATAACAACCTATCTCAAAAGGTTGTTTTGTGGATTAAATAAATTAAAACATAAAGTTTGTATGGCCAATTAGTGATCACATACATACTTGCTTTAAGAAAGGAAGAAAGGCCGGGCGCGGTGGCTCAAGCCTGTAATCCCAGCACTTTGGGAGGCTAAGGCGGGTGGATCACCTGAGGTCAGGAGTTCAAAACCAGACTGGCCAACGTGGTGAAACTCCTTCTCTTCTAAAAATAAAAAAATTAGCCGGGCATGGTGGTGCATGCCTGTAATCTCAGCTACTCACCTGATTGGAGGTTGGGGTGTGATGGCAGAAGAATTGCTTGATCCCAGGAAGCAGAGGTGGCAGTGAGCTGAGATTGCGCCACTATTCTCCAGCCTGGGCGACAGAGCGAGACTCCGTCTCAAAAAGATAAAAAAATAAAAGAAAGGAGGAATGAGAGAACGGAAGGAAGAAAGAGAAAGAGGCAATTGCAGGTTGTAAGCCCGAGTCTGGTTGTCAGGGTTACGCCCGAAGTTCTGTGTGCTTACGTGGAGGAGGGCCGTCTTGGTTCACACTCCCACTCATAGCCTTCCTGGACCAGCATGGACATCCCCTGTCTCTGGGTTGTTGAGCTACTCATTTATCGGGGTGTACTTTGTCCTGTGTCTCTTCAGTTCTCAGGTGGTCAGTTCCAGTGCGGTGAGTCTCTGGCTTGTCCATGCGTGAGACTCATTAATTTTTTTCCTTCCTTCCTTCCCTTCCTTCTTTCTCTCTCTCTTTTTCTCTTTCTTCTTTTCAGAGTCTCACTCTGTCACCCAGGATGGAGTGCAGTGACATGATCTCGGCTCACTGCGAGCTCCACCTCCCAGTTTCAAGCCATTCTCCTGCCTCAGCCTCCCGAGTAGCTGGAATTACAGACGCCCAACTAACTTTTTGTATTTTCAGTAGAGATGGGATTTTGCCATGTTGGCCAGTCTGGTCTCGAACTCCTGAGCTCAGGTGATCCACCTGCCTCGGCCTCCCAAAATGCTGGGATTACAGGATTACAGGCCTGAGCCCCTGTGCCCTGCTGACTCATTTCGTTTTCTAAGACCACCTTCCTCTGTGATCACTTGTCAGGGCTCAGACTTCATCCTTTCCTCTGAAAGTCTGTG